TGACTGGTAAATATTAGAAATGAATTTCTGAATCACATGAGGAAACAATTGTTACAATTTAAGTAGCATTTTCCCTTTACATCTCCTTTTAAATCTGTTTTGATTTTTAACTAATCATTTAAACAATCATTTCTCTTGAGATATTCATTTGAACATGCTAAATAAGTTAACATTCATTCAACCATGTAATAAAACATTACATGTTTGGGAACAAAGAACTTCTATTAAATTCAAATTAACAATAATAGATGTAGTGAAATGGCATGGAGAACTTGACTTCCATCAGAGTAGCTCATTATGGTGCATGTTGCTAAATGAACCAGATTAGAAAGCTTACTATGTGGTGATCCAGTTATTGGGCTTAGGTGGTTAAGAATGAAATTTGAGTTATATCACATTCTATCATAGTATTTTGCAATTTGATGCTTTTGGTGAATAATATCATGCATATGGCTAACTTATCAACTGTACAATTTTGATTTTTAATATCATTACAGATCAATAAGGTGTTGTTTTGAACTGTAGTATCTTAATGTTTATTAATGACTTATTAGGTACAATTAGTGCATTCACTGTTAATGCAATAGCTCATGTAACTACCACAAGAATCCTTTGAGAAAGTGCTTTCATTATTCTCACTTTGCAAATAAAGAAATAGAAAAAGTGAAGAAACAACACTATAAATATTCAAAAAATGTGAGGAAGCAGGTAAAAATTATGGCAATATTACTCATTAGATACCTAACATATTTCTTTGCAACTTAGAATCATTATATAAAAGCTTGCACTCCAACATCTTTCAAAGCTCACTTCCAAGTATCATTAATATGGTAATCACTGTGTACAACCTTCGGGGTGAATCAGTTATCAGTTATTATGCTGTCACACTGGAAATAGAATCCCACTTCTGCTTCAACAAGGCCTTTTACTAGGACACTAGGGCATGCATCACACATCTGTGTGGCTTAGACATAGAGTGTTAGCTCTATGATTTACCAGCTCTGTGACTCTCAACAAGAGACTTAATTCTTCTCGGCCTCAGAGTCCTCACTTGCAAAATGTAGCAACGATCTGCAGGATTGTACTAAGAATGAAATTACATACTGCGATGTGTGTGTGCTCTTCAGTTTTAGCATAATCTCTGGCATAGAGAAGGAACTGAATAATTAAAATATAAACCGTAAACAGACAATTGGTATAAACCTGCCAATATTAAAGATGTTTAATGATTAATTAATAGCCTTCTAAAACCAAGAGAACTAGATGAGTTCCCTGCTAAATTCTACTGAACATTAAGAATTTATGGGCCCAGCACGATAGCATAGTGGTTAAAGTCTTCACCTTGCACACACCGGGATCCCATATGGTTGTTGGTTCTAATCCTGGCAGCCCTGCTTCCCATCCAGCTCCCTGCTTGTAGTCTGGGACAGCAGTTGAGGATGGCCCAAATCCTTGGGACCCTGCACCCATGAGGGAGACCCAGAATTGCTCCTGGCTCCTGGCTTCAGATTGGCTAGGCTCCAGCCATTGTGCTCACTTGGAGAGTGAACCATCAGACAGAAGCTCTTCCTCTCTGTCTCTCCTCCTCTCTGTATATCTGCCTTTCCAATAAAAATAAATAAATCTCATAAAAAAATTTACACAAATTCCATATGTCTCTTAGAGAGGATAGAAGCAGAGAGGATTATGTCCTAACCCATGCTCAAAGGACAGCTGTATTTCAAATCAATATCAGACAAAAAAAAAAAACTGGCAGAAAGATAATTATAGACCACTATCTCTCATCAACACAGACATGAAAATTCTCAACAAAATACTAGCAAAGCAAATCCACCAAAATACATACGAAAAGGCTATAATGCATCATGACCAAGTGAGGTTTATCCCAGCTATGCAAAGCTGCTTGAGCATTCAAAAATCAGTTAATGTTATCCATCGCAAGAAAAGCCAGATGATTATGCCAATAAATAGTAAACATGTTTGACAAAATCCAAGACTCACATATGATTTTAAAAAATGAAGAATGCTGCTTCAACTTGGTAAAGAATAGCTCCAAAAAATCAGTAGCTAACATCTACTTAATGGTGAGAACTTAGAAATATTCCCTCTCAGTCAAGGTAAGAATGTCTGTCTTCACTACTGCTTTTCAACCTTGTATTGGAAGGATTAGCTAGTATAATAGAACAGGAAACGGGAATCATAAGTATAGAAATTGGTCAATAAGAAATAAAAATGACCTTTAAAGTTTGCAGATGACATGATTATGTACATAAAAATATAATCAACAAAATCTCCTGGAACTAATAATTACAGTAATGTTATAAGATATAAGATGAACATATTAAAGTCATTCCATTTTCTGTGTACTAGCAATAAACAAGTTTTTTGTTTTTTCTTTCTTGCAAACAATGTATTCTCTTTTTTATCTAGCAGATGGAAGATCTACTCTCTTAACAAATATTTATTTATAATTTTATTTAAAAGGCAGATTTACAGAGAGCTGGAGAGAAAGTGGTATCTTGCATCTGCTGATTCACTACCCACATGGTGGCAACACCCATAGCTGAGTCTATCCAAAGCCAAGTGCCACAGGTGGCATTTTAAATATAAGGCATGTCGCTATTTATATTCTCACACACAGAATGAAGGATCTATATAGGGAAAACCAAAATCCTAATGAAAGATAAAAGAAGAACTGGGGGCTGCACAATGACTCACCTGGCTCATCCTCCACCTCCAAGTGCTGGGATCCCATAGGATACCATATTTAAAAAAAAAAAAAAGACTAAATGGAGATAGTCTATTTTTACAGACTGACTCAACATTGCTGGGATGTCAGTTCCTCACAAAACTTTTCAATGGATTCAGCACAATTATAATTAAAATCCTAGTAAAACCTCTCTGATTAAAAACAAATTGATTCTAAAGTTTCTATGGAGAAACAAAAGACCCAGGATAGCTATTATTTGGAAGTAGAAGAATAAAGTCAGGAAACTGACACTTCCTAATTTCAATACTTAATATGAAGCTAAAGAAATCAAGACAGTCTAGTGTCAGCAAATAAATAGCCAAACAGACCAATGAAAGAAAACAGAAAGCTAAGAAATTAACTCACCTAGATGTAATTAAATAATCTTTGACAAAAGAACCAAGATAGTAAAATGAGGGAAAAACCTGTCAAACAGAAACTAGAGTGATTTCAACAAATATACATTCATGGACCAAAAAATGGTGAATTTAGACCCAGACATTGTACCCTTCACAAATATTATCTTAAAGCATATCATAGTTCTAAATGCAAAGTCCAAAACCATAAAACTCAAGGAGATATCTTGGAAGAAAAGCTCGATGGCATTGAGTATGGTGATGATTTTTAAGACACAATATACAAAGGATAATCCACATATAACTGATAAACTGAGCTTTATTAACTTGTACTCTGTGAAAACAAGTCAAGAAAATGAAAAGACCAGGCATGAACCAAGATAGCATACTTAGAAAATACACATCCGAGGCTATTACCTAAAATATACCTTATATGAAGAGTTATTTAAGCTCTTAAAACTCCACAATAATAAAACAACCTGATTCATGAGTGTGCAAAATACTTGAACAGAATGCTCAGCAATAATAATAATAATAATAATAACAACAACAAATAAAGAGATAGATACGTCAGCATATGAAACGTTTTACACTATCTGTTTCCAGGGAATTTTGAATGAAAACAATAATGATGTAACATTGCATACCTATTAAGAGGACCAAAAGCTGAAACACTGGCAACACCAAAGGCTGATGACAAAGTGAGGAAAGGGGTACAAGATGGCACAATTATTCTGGAAAACCGTTGACAATGTGATGCAAAATTAAACACACTTTTCCTACATGACGCAGCAATTCAACTTTTTAATACTTACCCAAATGAATTAAAAATATGTCCACACCAAAAGCTACACATGGATGTTTGCAACTAGTTGGAAAGTTTTTAACTATTTGTAGCTTCCAAAATGTCCTATGTTGCATCAATAGGTGATATACTATGGTGAATAGAACATTACACAACACTAATAAAGAGATGAATGATCAAGACATGGTAGAACATGGTGGAAACTTGATGCACATTGTTAAAAGTAGCCAATCTGGAAGGAAACGCATTATATAATTCTTGAAAAGGTGAAATGATGGAAACAGTAAAATTTTAAGTAGCTGCTAGCAGTGAGATAGAGAGAAGGATGAATTGGTATTTATTTATTTTATTTTCACTTACTTATTTATTTTGAGGATATTTATGGCCATAAAGCTAGTCAATATAATACTCTAATGGTAGATTTGTGTCATCGAGAATTGTTCCAAACACACAGAATATACAACTCTAAGAATACGCGCACTGTGAACTATGGATTTGGATGATGTATCCACGTGGGTTCATTGGTTGTAATGAATGTATCATTATTGTAAGAGGGGTGTCTGTTGTCAGGAGGGCTGTGTTTAAGGGTTGGGCAGATGAGGGCATCTCATGGGAACTTTCCCCTTAGTTTTCCTGTAAACCCAAAGCCATTAAAAAATGATATTTTTAAAAAGCCAACTTCTTGCTTAACAATCAGTTCTCACTATTACACTTAGCTCCATGGTTAATATCACAAGCCCTTTGGTCAGAGTGTCAGGGTTTAAATGCAATAACACTTTCTGTATGACACAGCTTCCTCATTTCTGAAAAAATACGTGTACCTATGTCAGTTTTAGAAGTAAAATGAGACTTAAATTGCTTAGACACTGCATATGTCAAATGAGTTTCAGTTCAATAAATCTTAGCTATTATTCTTTTACAAATTTCAAAGTTTCTTTTTAAATCTACAATGTCATATTGAATTATCTTAGCCTATCTGAAAGGCTAGAATAATATTCTTTACCTAAATTTGTGCTGTCCAAATTTTGTGCACACTGCTTTCTACTGTTTTTGTTTGTTTTTTTATCAACCTACCTTCTTCCCTGTTCAGATTTGTACCACAAGATGGGCAAGAGGATGTGGACAAGCCAGTGAGTTCATGGAAGACTCTGGAGAACTATTCCTATGACAAATATCACTCCATGACAGAGGTAATCAAAAACAAATGGGAGAAGGTTGGTGTTGACCAATGGTTCATTGTTAATACTGATGGGCTGAAAAGTCTTCAATTCTGGAATTATTCGCCTGTACACTGAATTCAAGGAATTCCCAAGCATCAGCATCACCACTGCCACTATCAACCAAACTACAAAATCTGGTGACATGGAACAAAAAAGAAAACGAATAATACAAAAACAGAAAAGAACATCCCACAGGTCCTGTTTCCTCATTTGTGGAATAGGAAAAGTAGTATTTGTCTTGCAGCACTGTTATGAAAGCAAATGCAAAACTATATTATTATTGATTAAGCAATGAATATGTCACAGATATTGCCGCTACAAACTCTTATTAGCCTCTCATTCAAGACTTTAGGCATCTTAGCATAATCAGGTCTCCAGGTCTCTTGAACTAAGCATGTTATAGATGCACACAGGACACATATATAAAGTCAACAAATTGAACTGAAAATACCAAGTATTGTTGTTACAATAGTACATCTCATTTATGGATGCCTTATATTGAGTATCAACTACAATTTTGAAAATTTTAAGTAGTGTATTTGTTATCCAAAATTAACTATTCCACAATTAGTGAATGCTATCATTCAGGGATATAAACTGTTTGGAAATTGAGTGTGAGAGTCATTCTGCCACATGTTGATAAAATGTCCTTACTGAATTCATTCTGAGAGAACCCTAAGTTGTGGACTTCTAGGACAAGAAGTAAGACTTTCCAAGCCTGGTGCAAGATGTGTACTTCAATCAGAATTTACTCAGGTCTACACAGTTGACCAGCAACAATTAATCTGGGCTTCATTTACAAATTTATGCTTGCATTTTCTGGAAAGTAAAAGTCCAAATTTTTCCTAATGTTAGAACATGGATATCAGCAGAAGATCTTGTTGCAACCCATAAAGACAGAAGAACTTGCAAACTAAGACTGAACTGAACTTTCTCTGGCATGATTGTGTGCTGCGTGAAAGCTAAATTCGGTGGCCATGTGACACATGTGTTGTTGCACATTGTTTCCGAAGTATGATTGTTGCATTACTAAAATGTTTATATTTTTATTTATAAAGTTGAACCAAATGCCCTAAGGCTTGGTGGTAGAGCAGATTATTAAAGAAAAGAAAATGAAAGGAAGGAGATCTATCATTGCTTTAGTTTTCTGTTTTCTTTAGTACACAGCAATCACAATCTCAAGCAAAGAGTTCAGAGTTCAATATATTAGCAAACAAAAAGTTATCTTAATCAGAGCTGGGCCAAGAATCTTCCTATTGATATCTAATATTCCCTGACTGTTTCAGATCTATCAGTGGATGCACCAGATAGGTGAGAGGTACACAGACATGGTGACACAGCACCTCCTAGGAATGACCTATGAAAGTCGACCCATGTATTACCTGAAGGTGAGTGAGAAGGCTCGGAATTATCATGTGGGAAAAGAAAGCCTCCTTCCCCCAATCTGTGGCTCTCTGTCTACTACTCAACATGTCAGTCAGAAACATGGAAAAGGCTAAAAGAGCCAGTACAGAAAGACTTCACTTTTTCTCTTCCAAACTGGGTTCTTGAAATTAAAATGTAAAAATCTTGAGGAATCAAGTTCTGGAGTAGAAAATTGGATGACTGGGTGTGGTCATGAGTGTAAGATCTAGAAATGGCAGTGGTCGATTGTCAACCTTCAGCCAAAACCTGTTCATTTTACACTGCAATTTTGCATTTTTGCTTGTTTTGTAAAATTTCTTTTCTAAAGAGACTTGTCCTGTTTTGTTTGTTTGTTTTTAGAGAGAGACTTATTTAGTTATTAGAATTGGATAGAGGGATCTTCCATAAACCAGTTCACTCCACAAATGGCCACAGCGACCAGAGCTGAGGCAGGCCAATGCTAGGAGCTTCATCCTAGTCTTTCTGTATAGGGTCAGAGACCCAATTGGACCATCTTCAGTGCTTTCCCAGGTGCTCCAAGGGAGGGAGGGATGCTCAGCAAGCTTCAGGGACCACCTCATCCAGGAAATTATTATTATATTTTTGACCCACATGGGTGCCTGTAGCCAGGCCATGTGGCTGCCTTGGGGGAGAGGCGCTTGCGTTGGGCATTCAGGATCCCCTGCTTGTAGGCTTTCCTAATCAGCGCAGGTGTGTACAGCTGAGCACACTGGCTCTTGCAGGGGAGGGATGCTCAGCGGGCTTTTGGGGCCACCCCATCCTCGAAGTTACTATTATTTTTTTTACCTGCATGGGTACCTATAGCCAGGACGCGTGGCTCCCTGCGGAAGAGCCTGGGCGGCCTGAGCTCAAAGGTCCTGGTGAAGTCCCTCAGGTCGCCCAGCGGCACACAGCTTTTCCAGGCTATTAACAGGAAGCTGGATCAGAAGTGGTACAGCTTGGGCTTGAACTGTGCATGTATGGGATGCCAGCATCACAGATGGCTGCTTAACCAACTGATCCACAATGCTGACCCCTCCAATAAAAGGTTTAAAAACCACAGAAGCTTTCATTTTTGACTCCTTCAACTTATGGTTGCAGAAACAAAGACCCAGGGGAGTGAGCTGGCTTCTTCATTGTTACAAAGCCAGATAGTGGCATTCACAGAGGAAAAAAGCAGATTTTCAGGTACTTTTTCCTCTTTTGCATGTCAATGGAATAAGTAATCAAATAACTACTTTTCCACAAGCCCAGGACTTCTAGACTCCCAAAACAGGGATTTTTCTAACCTGGCTGAACATTAAAATCACCTCGGGAATTCTCATGTAGTCCTGATGTTTGGACACTGCCTACAGAGACAGGGCTTTAATTGTTTCAGATGCTTTGAAAGCTCCCCAGGTGACCCTAACGTGAAGCCAGAGTTGACGGTCCTGCACCAAACCAGTAGCTTCCATTGGGGTGAAGCAGCCCCTAGAAACTTGTTAGACATGCCCATTCTCATGCCCTACTGCTGATCTACTGAGTCAGAAACCCCAAGGCTGGGGCAAGTAATCTGCTTTAATCTGATTTTTTTTTAATACAAAATTATTTATATTGGAAAGAGTCCGCCTCCATCTACTAATTCACTCAGCAATGCTCTCAATAGTAGAGGCAGAGTGAGGCTGAAGTTGGGAGTGTGCAACTCCATCCAAGCCTCCCACGGGGGTGCAAGGAACATAATTTCTCCCATTTCAGTAGCAGAAACCCCATCACTGCTGCTCCCTGGGTCTGCTTTAAGGGAGGTTGGGGGTCAAGGGCTGGAGCTGACTGGGGAATGTAGGTACTCCAATGTGGGATACAGGCATTTTAACACACTTCTTGCAAGTTCCCGTGTGCTACTGACACTGCCTGTCCAGGATCACTCTTTAAAAATCACGTTAGTCTTGCACAGAGAACAAGCATTACTTAGTCCACTGCCCTGTCCCTGTTTAGTGTATATATGTTCATTTCAGAGTACAGCTCAATATTTGAGTTATTGACAACTACAAAAAATTAATTGGCTCAGAAAGCTTATTTTATCCAGGGATTAAATGAATGATTGGCTGATATATTAAGCGTGGGGTCTCTGTCTACTTGATTTTAAGTAGTGTGCCAAAATCCAAGCAAAGTCAGCTAAAAACACATCTAAACATTCCTTGCTCCTGTTATATTATAAATAATAGAAGGAGTACAAAAAGAAGGAAATAAAAATTAATACATATATATTCCTAAGAAGGTAACTACAAGGAAAAAATTAAGAGATTAGGGATTGTTCTTGTAGTAATGAGAACTAGGTAAGGTTAAAGGGACAATTTTTAAAACTATGATTGATCTAGGGCAGCATTTATCTCAAAGTTTAAGGTTCACATGGGAAGGGGAGAGCGTCTTTTTCAGTACAGCTCTCAATGGCTTTCAAATGAACACTGGTCTAGGCCATCACCAACTCCAAAACAGATGGGACTATGAAATCAGTATGTGTTCACAGCCTCTTCTCCACCAAAAAGAACCCACAATTGCTGCAGTAATTCCTTTATGCCCACAACTCTGATAGAGATCTCCTTTGTTGGAATGGACCTGCACAAATATTCAAGAGACATAAGTGGGATGGGGAGAGAAGACAAAGAACTAGACAGAACAGGGTCATCTGTGCGGGAAGAAGACTGTAGTATGTATTGCAACATACCACATATTTGGACTGACTCATGGATCCAAGTTAAAGTGAAGAATGGGATTCATTTTTAAATATCTGTGATTCTTGTGTACTTTATGCTCTGAAGAATTCTATGTGTAAAGGCTTTATAAGCTTTTTACAGATTTACCCTCTTCTCTTGTGACTTGGTGTTTATACTCCTAGTTAAGGAATAATGTAAAGTATAAGGAAGACCAGTCTTCAGGTGGTTGCCACAGGGTGTCAGTGCTCCTTAAACACCACCAAGGTCACTGGCAGGAGAATCAGTGGGGCAACATGTTATGTTGTAGCTGACTGCATCAGTATACCCTTACCTCTTTGAGATCACAAAGTGAGAAAAGAGCCCTTTAAGGAAGTAAATACAAAAACTGATATTTTCACATAAGAATGATTGGTAATTGATCATGGATTGCCATCCCCACATCCCCAGATAAGTCAACCATCCAGTAACCCCAAGAAGAGCATTTGGATGGACTGTGGAATTCATGCCAGGGAATGGATTGCTCCAGCTTTTTGTCAATGGTTTGTGAAAGAAGTAAGTGTCTTGATCATCCTCTTAATGGTAAGCCAGCCCATAAAATATCTGTCATCTCTTTTTGGTTCCCTTGAATGGAAGTCATTTTCAAGTTATGGATTAGGAACACAAGTCTTTACAAGCCAATGTTCCTCCTTGGGTGAAATGGAATCACCATACAGCTTCCCTGGAACCGGTGCTAATATTCTGCTCTCTTCCCATTCAGAAATCACCTTTATTGGAGGGTAGAAACTTTCTAATATAGAAGACCTCTTTGGTATCAGCGGTGATTTTAAACACAAGTCTGTCTGTTTCTAAAAGCGTTGGCCAAGTTTTCTTACTTGGGATTCTCTAGTTTTTCATCTGTGGAAGGCATAGGAAATAACCACTCTGTGAGTCTGTTGGGTGGGTAAGAGACTTAACATAAGAAAATACGTAGCATGGTGAATTTTTATGAGTTGGCTATAGCCTTCCCTTGAGGAATTAAGAAGTCTTTAACAATGACGCACCTTTCTGGTTAATCTTTTAAAAATTCTAAACATTAACAATCCCTACAGAATAGTTCTTGGAGTATGGTCCCTGGGATGACAGCATCAGCAATAATGGGAACTTGGACCTTGTGGCAGGGGGAGCACTAATGAGGTGGGGGGCGTGCAGAGCAAAGGCGATCTGTGTGAACTGGGTCCTCCTGGTGATACTGATGTGTGATGAAGTTTGAGAACCACAACTATGAAAGCTATGACAGCTGAGGCATAGTTGGAGGTGTGAGGTGTAGTTACCTCTTATGATGAAGTTGAAATTGGTAGAAAATTAGGAGAGGATTACTCCAAATATTTCCCTCTTAACTTTTCAGATCCTACAAAATTATCAGGATGACTCAAGGATGAGCAGGCTTCTCAAGGGCCTGGACTTCTATGTGCTTCCTGTTCTCAACATAGACGGTTATATCTACTCGTGGACCACTGTGAGTACAGTGAGGGGTCCTTGGATGCCCTGGTCAAACCAAGCTCCAATTAGGTTCATTCTCCTGAAGTTATGAAGGCTGGCTATAAAAAATATTTACCCATGGAAAGAAATAATCCACCATTATGCCTTTAATATGAAATACTGTCTGTTCAACATCTGTTATGTAAATAGCTACAGTCAACTTTCAGATTGAGGATATGAAAGCCCTTTGGAAGTTGAAGTCAGCCTAGGTTTTTCCTTGTTTTAAATATATGATCAATTTTTACAATAAGGTCTTTCTTTCTTCTCCATCTTCTTAATGCTTCTAGATTTCCTGCTACCTAGTTAAAATTCTATTGCTATCAAGTTAAAGACAGCACCCAGTGTCTGCCTCAAGTCAGTTGTGAAGCATGAGGACATAAAAAAAAGGGCATGTAATCACTAAGCCAGCCTGCACTTTTCAAGGCATTCAATCACAAGGGGACAAACATAAAGTCGTTTAATGCCCTAGGCAGCTTTCTCTTTATGTGTTTTTAAGGTGCATCACTCTAGAAGAAAGAGTCCCTGTGTGTTGAATATTCATTCCTCTCCTCCTCCAATGCTCCCCCACAGGCCCTTCATGCAGTTTCTCCTCCCTAGAGCGGTTTTTCCAGCATGGTGTATGAGATTTTGTGGTGAAACTTGTCAATATCTCCATCTCAACTCATTCATCTTCAGCATTTAGATATGTGGGAAGATCATCTCTGATACAACTGGAATGATTCTTCCCCATCTGTCAGGCTATTTTCCTTTCATCTGTGTTTCTCCGACCCGCACCCTGACCCTGCAGCTGGCTCTGAGCAAGCAGAATGCACCTATGGGTACTGCTGATCCGCTCAAGAGGAAGACACCGCACTGCCTCCCCTTCAACCCCACCGTGTGTTTTCGTGTGTTTGGTTGAATGTGCACAGATGTCCGTCCCGGTTATTAGGCTTACTAGCCTGTCTACGAAACTAAAAGTTTTATACAGCAGCATTTATCACATAAAAGGCGGTTTCTTCCAGAACATCTTTCATGTTTAAGGACCACCTCTCCCAACTAATACTGTGACTTATGAAACGTCAGAATGGTAATTTCGTTGGGCTCCTCTGTTACAGGATCGTCTTTGGAGGAAATCTCGTTCACCACATGATAACGGAACATGTTTTGGGTCTGATCTCAATAGAAATTTCAATGCCTCCTGGTGTAGTAAGTATATGTTTAGTAAGTAAGTAAATGGACAAAAATAGTGTCCATTAAAAAAAAAAGTGAGTTACTAAAAGCAAAATTTTTGAAGTAAGCATCTATTTTCACTCTGCTTTTGGGCCTCCTGAACAAGTATCATTTCCTCAAAGGGATGATACTGTCTATATAGTGAAGAGCTATCAGCATTTGACCGCAGGCTGTCTTCAAAAGAGCTGGGTAAACAATGACAAAGTGAATTAGTGTGAAAACAAGGAAACCTCAAAATGTTCAGAAGAATAACACACCAAAATAGGCTTATCATTGGACTATATTTTCCATGAACTTTCTGAAGTATTGTCACATACAAGTATTTGAAATATATCAGAGCTGGCACAATGGCTCAGCACACTAACCCTCCACCTGCAAGCATCAGCATCCCATGTGGGCGCCAGTTTGTGACTCCGCTGCCCCACTTTCTATCCAGCTTCCTGCTAATGCATCTAGAAAAGCAGTGGAGGCTATCCCAAAGCCTTAGGACCCTGCACTCATACGGGATATCTGGAGAAAGCTCCTGGATGCTGGCTTCTGATCAGCTCAGCTCTGGCCATTGTGGTCATTTGAGGAGTGAACCAGAAGGTGAAAAGTCTTTGTCTCTTCTCTCTGTAAATCACCTTTCTAATCAAAATATATATTTAAAAAAATATATAAAATTTTGTTTAAAGCTATAGATACATAGTATCATAAAGAAAGGTAAAACAAATACACACAGATTGTTTTATAGCTGCACAGGGGGCGTAAACAAAGCACATGCCTTAGACATTTCATGCTTCCAAATCCTAAAATGGTCAATGAATTGGAAGTAGAAGCAGGAACGAAGAGCACTGCTACTACCAAGATGGCAAGGGTTACAATTCAGACATGGCAGCTCTGTGGTTTTGGAAAAAATGGCTTCATCTTCATGCTTTACTTTTCTTTGAAATGTGTGTGAGCTATCTTGTCAATAGGTGTTGTGAGAATTCAGTGATAATGGAGATTCTAACTAGAAGGGAACAGAAAACATTACCTGGCATACTCAACTGTATGATGCTCAACTGATGATCCTTGTTGCTGGAAGTGAGGAGGTCAAATTGCTTTAGGTCCTTGTAAAATAGCTCCAATGATGCTTAAGCAAGTAAAACACTGAAAGAACAGTATAGGCCACTATGATTGGTGGAGCCAGACTTAGGAATTTCACAACTGAACTGAACTGCTTGTCTCAGAGCCCCCACAGGCTTAATTAAGCACTGGATTATTGAAATGCCATGTCACTCCTTCCAGGGACATGTAACCATAGAATATGCTTCCAAACGTTTTAAAAGAGAATTGCCTATTTATTTATTTATTTATAATTTGAAAGAGTTATATATATAGAGGGGGAGAAACACGGGGGGATTTTCTGCTGGTTGCCCCCAAAGACGCACACACAGCAGTCCCAACAGCCCCAACAGCCTCAACAGCCAGGGATGGATGGATGCAGCTGAAGCCTGGAACCAGGGGAATCATCCAAGCTTCCCTTAAGGATGGCAGGAGCCAAAAACACTTGTGTCATATTCTGCTAATTTTCCTAGACTGTTAGCTTGGAGTTGTACAAGACGTGAGGTAACCAAGATGTGAATTGGAGCCCATTTGGGATGTTTTCCTGGCAGGTGGTAGTTTTATCTTCTGTGTTACAACATCACAAAACCAGCCCTGATTTTCCTAAATCTTTAACATCATTTTACTACCTCCCAGAGTTCATTCTTAAAATACTGTCCTTCAGAGTGTGTTGGAATTCACTAAGTTAAACGGGCTCAAGTAGCCCACCAAGCGTGAGCCCAGATGGCAGCCATGGATTCTCTGAGCAGGGAAGAATTCGTACTTTCAGCCATTTCTAAATTGAGATCCTAAAGCTTTCTTTATGGTTTCCTGAATATTCTAGGTATTGGTGCATCTAAAAACTGCCAAGATTTAACATTCTGTGGGACAGGTCCAATGTCTGAACCAGAGACTAAAGCTGTCGCCAGTTTTGTGGAGAGCCAGAAGGACATTGTGTGTTTCCTGACCATACACTCTTATGGGCAGTACATTCTCTTGCCGTATGCCTATACCACCAATAAGCCAAACAACTATGAAGAACTGGTAAGTTCATAGCACATGGCTTAAAGAAAAACTGCGGTAGGATCTCTGCCTTCCCTTTACTGATTTCCATTTCTAAGGGTTGGTTCCAGCACACATACCCCTTTACTCATCTTTAGTTTCTTCTTCCTGCTTTTTGTTCTTTGCCAGGTGCCTACTGGAAGGCTTCGGGTTAAATGCTGCTTTACCTACGTTAATTAACTACCTGCTCCATAAAGTGTCAAGTAGGGAGACATCTTAGGTATTCGTCTGTAATATAAATGAGATGATTATGTTAATAATCTGCAGGAATGTGCTTTCATTTCTGTAAATTCTCTCGCAGCTCCATTCAGCAATTACAGCTTTTAAACCATACTTTAAAGAGATCTGCCAGCTGTTGTGGAATATGGCATATCTGAAATAACACAGCTAAATAATATCTGCTCTCTTCTCTGCTCAACACAATGCCCTGTTTTCTTCTAAACTCTTCCTACAATATTTGCGGGGGGAAGTGCCCAGGCAGTGTGAGCTAAGGCAAAGAAACAGTGTTTTGCATGATCTGAGATACATATTATCCTCCAAAGCTGTGTTCACCAAGGCCCTGGAGGCTGGAACAACTGAAACCGGGCTGGGCTCTTTTCTCTTTTGTGAACCTTTGGAAAAATCAACTACGGGTTACATTAAGAATCACTACAGCATTTCTAACTTTTTATTAAAAAAAAGAATTGTAAAAAACACATATCATCTAATCCACCATCTAAACCATTTTCAAAGGTACAGTTCGGTATTTCACTTTCTTACGTAATCAAAAATAAAAATTTTCTCATCATGTGCAATTGAAACTATAGGCACATTAACGTCTGCTGATTTTACACTATGCCCCTACCCTTGACAACCACCAATTTATTTCCTATTTATATGAATGTAGTTACTTTCGATATCTCATATGCTTTTGGAATTACATGGCAGTTGTCTTTTTATGGATGCCTTGCTTTACTGGAGTAATATCCCCAGGATTCACCCATGTGGTGGTGTATATCAGAATCTCTTTCCTTTTGAGGGCTGAACAGCAGACCATTGTATGTGGAGGCCATATTCTATTCATGCACTCATCCACTAACAAGCAACTTGGGTTGCTTCTATATTTGATTACTGCTATGCCACTATGAATATAGATGTGAAAATCTTTCTTCAGGACTCTGATTCAATTCTTTTGTATATATATGCACCCCCTGGTATCCTGTGGGAATTGGTCCTAGGAACCCTGAGAATACCAGAGTCTACAGCTGTTCCCTTATGTAAATGGACATAGTATTTGATCATAATTTACAAAAACATATTTTCATATATTTCAAATCATCTCTAGATTACTTATAAGGTCTAATACAATGTAAATTCTATGTATGTATTTGTTATTCCAAATTTTAAGGTGTAATGACTGGAAGAAAAGTCTTCCCCTAACATTTACTATCTGTGGTTGGTTGTGACTTTGGATGTGGAACACTAGAGAAACAGAAAAATGAATGAACTGGAGTTGTTTGATCATATGGAAGCTGTGCCTTTTAAAAAATTATAACATTGCTTTACCATAGTGACAGCACTATTTAATATACATATAAATAGGTCACAAAAATTCCAACTTATTCATTCTTACTAAATGCATTACTTTCTGTTCATCCTATTTTTTAAAAAATAATGTTCATTTTTACTTGAAAGTTGGATTGAGACAGAGAGAGAGAGATTGCATCCACTGATTCACTCCCCAAATGGCCTCAATGACCAGAACTGAGTTGGTCAGAAGCCAAGAGCCATGGGCTTTTTCGGGGGTCTCCCATGTTGGTGCAGGAACCCAAGGTCTTTCCATCCTCTACAACTTTCCCAGGCTATTAGCAGGGAGCTGTATACCCAATAGAGCAGTCAGGGCTAGAATTGGCAACCACGTGGAATACTGGTGTCTCAAGCAAAGGATGGATTTGCTATGCCAGCACACCAGCCCTGTTTATGTTTTTAGAAAGTACTGTCATATTTTATGTATGTACTAGGGCAGATAGGGATGAATACCCTAGTATTAAGTTCATAAAGACCTGGTGGACATAGGATGTATTAAAATTCCTGTTATTTTTGTTCTTTAGCAGGGCCCATAAAACACAAAGCCTGGATGCCAAAAGGACACCACTACTGATTTTTCCTGGAAAAAGTCCTTTCCCCAACTGTCAAACATGTAAACCCAACTCAAGTACCTTTCTTAGAATTACTTTTCCTTTTCTTGGTCCAGGAAAACTTGTATTGTATGATCCTGTTACAAGGTTTGGAAATGGCTAACATTTGCCTAGGTCCTTATAGTTTACAGTGGGATTTCATAGAGCTGATCTACTTTGGCCATTATGACCAAATAACCTTGCTTTGGGGTGGTAGAAACTGGCACATTGAGTTAATTGTATTTTTAGAACTCTTGTAGGTAGGAAATAGTGGCACCTGGAAAAAAAGCCATGGTTTCGGACTCCAGGGGCCACATACCCATCCTACCACCTCATACCACATTTCTCAAATCAGACAGGACCTGCACCTTCTAGATGATTCCCAGTCAATAATCCACTGCGCCCTCTATTTGTGAGCTTTGGGGTCTTTATTTCTTAGATAAAGAAATCTGCAGAGGCAGATATCTCAAGCAAGTAACCCCAAAACCATCTCTAATCCCAGTCCATGACATTTGTTGTAGAGTTCCAATTTCTCAAACTGTAAAAACAACAAGGACACCCTTAAGCAGAGGCCATTACTGATCTTTGATGGGAAAGAATTCTCCATCTGCAGTAGAATCTGTCAAGGATAGAAGGAGTCTTCAACCAACACTGGCATATCCCTCTATTTTTCCTGGGAACTTCATTTTCTTTTAGATTCAGGAAAAAAGATACCTCCTGATCATTTTCCAACCTATGTATTCAAAACTGAGATAGCACTATTGCCACAGGTCAGATTAAGCAAGAAGGGTAGAAGGGTTTGGGCACAACAGCATTTGACACTACTGAAAGGATTCTTAGAACTGTAATTTCTAGAGAATCCTTCATAACAGGTGTTGAAATTGTGAAACCTAGCTGAGAATGAAAAAAGGCTTCAATTCTGTGTTGCTTAGTCTCAGATGCTGAAAACTTAGCATAAACATTCATCTCCAAGATTTTTCAATAAAGTGACATTGTAAAAACTTCACCAGCACATGTCAACCTATTGAAATTACTTAGCAGTATTTCTAGATTCTTGGGGATAAGCTTCAATAGAGAGCACACATCACAGAATCAAGTTAATTGTTCTGGGGAGATTTCCATTTCTACTACTATTTACAACCACAACAGATGAGTAATCAATCTCTGTGTATTTACAAAACCAAAACCTTTCAGAAATCATGATAAATATTATACTACATGATAGACAACTTGGCAATCACTGTGTAGAGGAAACATAACTATATATAGCCGCTTCCTAAACAGCTCTGGAAATTAGAAAAGCAGTAAGAATACTAATGCTTTACATGCTTGAATTCTTTCCATTTGAACTGTTTCTGCATAAACTTTATGTCATTCCAAATATGATCTTCCTACCCCATTTTCTGGTATCAAACTCATGCCAGGGCCTTAATCAAACTCTTTTTATCTTAATGTAAATTTGTGCCTACAGGGAAATTTCTGGACTCAGTGAAAGGCTTGGTAAATAGGCTAGAGGTCTTTAGCAGAAATTAGCAGTTCATAGTGACTACTGCTGGAAAGCAATTTTAACAATTTTTGATTAGGAAATTCTGATTGCATATATTCAATCTAAATCTAGGACTTTTTCAGTGACAACATGAAGCTACAAGTGAAAGTTCCACACATGACCTCATGTGATGGATCACAGTCAAAACACAGGTGCACTAAGCATGCTGGATAAAATTAGCATCAGGCTATGTGTACATGGTGTGTATGAAACATAAATTAATTTTACATTTAGATTTCAGTCCCATCCCCAAGATGCCTGCTTATGTTTGCGAACATATTCCAAGATTTGCAAATTTTCAAAATCTGGAATACTTCCAGTCCCAAGCAATTTGGTATATGATATGCAAACTGTCCCTTTGTTTAGTGAGAAAGGGTGACAGTGATTGGTTCTGTATGACCTTGTAGTACAGTTTCGTAAGGAGAGAGTTCCATTCAGAAATTCCACCTCCAGAGGCAGAAGTTGAAGTTAGAAGTCAAGGGGATTTCTACTTTGTCAACTCAGAAATACCTAAATCAATACACAATACTGACTCAGTCCTAAGTGTACTTATGCTTGTCTACTTCCTAATTGTTAGTGGAAAATTAAAAAAAAAAATTTAATCCAAAGTTTTTCACAAAAGAAGAACAACTTGGAGGGTTGTTACCAACTCCAAAGTCACATTTTGGGGAAAATAAGTAAAGGCTAGCAATGGAAATAAAAAATCATTGTCTAAATGGGACGCTGGACTGCCTGACATTGTCTGTACCAACAATGTCGGAGCACACTTAAATAAGAGACTAATAGAATTATGATTCCTTATAAAGGACTACACTATTGTAGTAAAACAGAGAAAATCTGTCAGGGGGTGGAAGTTTGAGGGAGAATCCTAGCCTATACAAAATTGTATCACATAATTCAGAATTCAAAATAAAAATATATTTAAAAAAATCATTGTCTAGACGTGAACTACAGGAAAGAAAATGCAAGGAATCACCAGGATGGAAAGTGTAGTCTGGATCTGATCCATGCTTTCCATGCAAAAGAGAAGGCCCTCCACGGACCAGTGAGCCAGGAGCTTCATTCCAAGAAACACATGGGAGTTAAGGACATAGTCAAACCAATTTGTATCTCTAACAGAAACTAACAGAACTTCATAAGGAAACGGACTTGGTTAGTTACAGAAGGGTTTTGCTTGAGCCTCTTGCTCCTGATTTCATCAGAGCTAGCTACTTGAATCCTTTCCATGCCTTGCTCTCATTTTCTCATCAAAACTCCCCTATCCAGAATTCCCCTTTCTGACTCTCTTGCTCCCTCTTATAAATTTCCCCTTTTTCATAAAAATTCTTGTGCTTATTTCCAGTGCAAATGAGTCAACTAATTGTATCCCTCATACTTTAGGCCTTTCCTACCAATGATCTCAGTTCTGGACAGTAGAAACTCAAGCACTGAGACAGAAACAAATTCTCTTTTTAGGGAGAGTTAGAGAGAGATGAGAGACAGAGAATATAATCAAAGACACAGTCCTTAGGTATAAGTGGAAAGAAGGCAAAATACTTGAAAATGATTCAATTGAATGACATTTTCAATTTGTATCCATGTAGTAAAAGTCCTAGGTACATGCAGGATGTAACCTACAACTACTACAGATGCCCCCCACCACTCACTGCCTTTTGTAGTCTTTCTTCTACATTTCACCAGGCATGTCTCAATGGTGCCCAAACACTATCACATCTTAGGATTCAATGAGATAGTGCAGAGTTAGTAAGGGGTAAACAGGGACTAAAACTAGGCCTGTCATAAGTTGAGAGTAAGGACCCCCACTGATAAACTTGCAAGTATAACCAAACCATCCCCCAAAGTAGTGGATTTTGGTGGAGGAGGGAAGCAGCAAGAGCATTTGGATATTGCTTGTTCACAATCTAAGAGAAAGCAGTGTGTATCAACTGGTTGGTAGTCTGTAGCAATGGGAAACCTTACATGGCGGATACTTGGAGGGTCTTTTGGTTGAGTTGTGCAACAAGATTCACCCAACCAGTAAGCACAGCCAACAGACTTTGGCTTCTTTGTGAATCTGATCTCAGGAAAGGATTTTCAGAGCACAAAGATGAGATACTAAAAACCATTTAGTTTTGAGAGATATCACATTTTGAAAGATGACAATGAAGTAGGTATAGGGCAGATGTTTACAACTAGGTAAGAGGTCAGTACCAAATACATGTGTAAGAAGTATAGGAACAGAGTCCTAAGACAGACATGAACAAAGGACTATGGGAGACTCAAATAGATCCAGTTGGAGTAAGGTAAGTTCTCAGGAAAAATCTGGCATTTGAGAAATCCCTTTGAAGTTAGGAAGATTTTAAAACATCCGAGATTAAATATAAGGATCCCATTGAAGAATCACTAGCCATAGCTTAGTATATGAATTGTGTCTGTGAAACAGGAAGAAATTTGAGTTTGACTATGCTTTCAGTGGCTGTGCAGAAAACAGCATTGAATTTGACTTTGTTTGAAAAAGTGGGTTAGGTCCCTATTGAAGAGATCTTAAAAGCTAGGTACTTAACTCAGTGAACAAACAGGGATTACTCAAGGCTTTTCAGTAGACTTGTGATCATAGCCACAGTCCACAAAAACCCACCTTCATGCCAAGTGGAATCAATTAGGTTAAGAATCAGAGAGAAAAGGAAGCTTATTAAGAGATGTAACAAATCCATTAAGAGACAGTAAGTCTGAAAAAGGGTTATGATGCTGGCAATGCAACTGGGAGGGAGGGTGGAGTCAGAGATGCCTATGGGATTTTCCATGTATGTTTATGGGAACATGCAAGATCAGAAACACAAATGTCATCACATCCTTATTAATGGAAGAGAATGGAATGAAATGAGAGTTGTGCTGAATTGGAGGTACCAGCAGGTTCTTTAGTTGTAGATTTTTCAATGGGAAGTCAGAAATATGAGCTGAAGCTCTAGAGATGGCAGTGAACAAAATGCCAATCCCATGGATTGCAGAGTTTATTTGTAATACTAGATAACTGTCTCCATATTTCCACCTACAGATTCAAGTTGGACAGAAGGCAGCAAATGCATTGAAAGCAAAGCATGGAACCAATTATAGAGTTGGATCAAGTGCAGATATTTTATGTAAGTTTCTTTCCCTCTTCAATGGTTACCTAAGTTGAGAGGAGGTTGGATGGTGAGTGGACAGAAAAAGAAGAAAAGAGCTCCTGAGATCAACAAGGAGGTACACAAATCAAAATGACCAGTTATAAAAGGAGGTCTTTCCAAATGTGTCATTATGTTCTCCAAGGATAGGGAATGAGATAAAAGGACAGAAAATTAGTAAAAACTTCCCTTAGCTTGAGATAAAATGAAGTGGAACATTGGAAGATCCAGAATTTAACAGGAAGGACATTGTCCAATGACTTTGGTTACTTGATACATTACTCAAAGGCCCAAATCAGGAAGAAAGATGATTTGGGAAAGATGAAAGCAGGGTGGGATCTGTTTAGTTAATTGGAAAGAAAATAATTGAATGAAAAGAGAATGCCCTGCTTCCCCCAATTCCCAACCATCACCTCTTCCACCTTCCATGAACCCATGAAGAATATTTCATGGGTTTGTCATTTTGTTTCTGTTACTTTATGTAAGACAATTCATTCTTGACTTGCAGTATTAGGCTGCCTGACCTTTTATTCTGCTGAGAAACTTAAGTAAACTTTTGTATGTGCCAGTCATAGTAGTAGGTATGGGGGTGGGAGGTTGAGAGGCTGAATAAGGTATAACCACTGTCCTGAAAGTGCTTACAAACAAGTGAGAACAGACAGGTACATACATGACCCTAATTTTACAGTCTGTTTACTGGCTGGACCTTTATTCATTGAACTCTTTCAGAAATGCTGCCATTTCTACTTATTCCTCAATGTTTTCCTTTGCAGATTCCTCATCAGGATCTTCAAGAGATTGGGCCCGAGATATTGGGATCCCTTTCTCATACACATTTGAGCTGAGGGACAATGGCACGTATGGGTTCGTTCTGCCAGAAACTCAGATCCAGCCCACTTGTGAAGAGACCATGGAGGCTGTGCTCTCAATCCTGGATGACATGTATGCAAAATATTGTCTCTCAAACAGTGCAGAGAAGGTAGCATTCCTCCCTATGCTGCTGTTCCTGCTGGTGCCCTTCCCTGCTCTTCTCTAAGTGTCTCCTACCAGCGCAGCTCAAGCCCAGGGACATAGACATTATTGGGAGGAAGGCATACTAAGTTGTGCAGCAAATAATTCAACTAAAACTATTTTCTGCTTATACAGACTCTTGAAATGACTGACTACCAGTGGGACCCCACTGCTCTTAAAATCTGATTAAAGATCACCTCATGAGATTCTGATAGAGCCTTTTGTGTTCTAATAGTTTTCTCTGATTGATGATCTCAGTATTCAGTAAGTAAAATGATACAGGAATAGATTTCCTCCCTTGTGGTGTGGGAATTTTTTTTTCATGTAAATTCTTTGAAAATATTTCTTATGTCCTTAAGCCAAGTTTTTACTTAATTTTGTGCTAATGAATTAGAAGCAGAATTCAGAAGTTAAGTTACACGATCACTACATGTAGTGGTGATTAGTTATTTATTTAACTTATTTGTAAAACACATTTGAGACTGTTCAGTGTGCTTTGCTAGGCTGTGAGGTTTTAATGATTAACATGTAGGCACAGGCCTTTCCTGTTTGGGGTTTATCTTCCTGTGGGTGAAACTGAGAGTAGCAGCCACACACAAGGCGAATAGCCACTGGTGAATCCCACTTTGGGGGGAGAGATTTATTCACTGTAAGATTTGTGAATAAATGTTACAGCCATGAAACACACACACACACACACACAACACACACATAAGGAGCACGTGGAAGTAAGCCTAAGCCAGACTGTATATTTAGGGATATATGTGGATTTAATTGCACTCCGATCTATTAAATTGCAAGTGATCTTAAAGTAGCATCTATGACTATTATTTGCACTGTACCTCTATCTGACATCTTGAAATGGTGTTAAGCACTTGTCAAGCTCCGAACAAATATAACTGTGACCAGCTGACAGGGTCTTCTTGAGTGTTCAGTCACCCATTTCCAAGTTTCCTTGTTGGTCATAGTCATAATACACTCCTTGGTTGTTACCCTTTTTATTGCCTTCCTTTGTTCTCTTTATTTGTTCATGTTTTGTTAGTGTGTGAATGATAAGGGTCAGAAAGGAAAACGTCAAGGGCAATAGGGTTTAATAAATCAAAGAACAGCTCTTTACATAAAAATGTCAACTCTACAATTGTGATTTTGCCAGGAGAGAATGGTTGGGCTTCATCAGTGGTGAACTTAGAAAGGAAAGGAAAGAATGTTACTCTGCATTGCTTTAAGAAGAAATTCAAGAAGCTATTCTGAGTGGCACACATTGTAGGTCTCAATATAACTATGTTTTTGTTTTCAAGGCTATTTTTAAAGATAATTTGGGCTCAAATCTACCAAGTTTAATTCTCATCTAAAGATGAGAATGGTCAAACAGAAAGAAACTCAGTCAATCGGCTTACTTACAATGTTCTACATGGATTTTTCCAGGTTTCAGTGCTGAATTATAGCCCCCTCGAGGGGTTTCAAACATCACTGTAAGGTACTTTAGTAGATGGCATAGGTTTACTTATTCTGAAAATTTTTATTTCCTAGGAACAATAGTAAAAAGACAAATGACATCACTAGCATTCACTTGCTCTAAAAAGCTAGTGATTTGGGAAAACTTCACAACTGTTACAACTAATGCAAACTTGCAAGTATCTTATACTGTAAGTTACTGGGGCTGGGAATGAATTTACCCTGCTTTTAATCTGAAAATTTAGCTTATGACCATTTCATCATTATTACACAAGAGGAAATCCCTGGGTCAGAGTCAAAGGCATTGTCACTCATGGCAGCAGCAGGACCATTAACATGATTACACTGGCTCTACTTGCTTCCAAGATCTAAGGGGATGGTGCAAAGAGCACATTTACCACAGACAATTGCAATACCTTGCATCACAGGAGAAACACACTGAGATTGGAAATCCACCGCTTCCATAACAAGTAGTGATAAGTTTGGTATTAAATGAGATATTTTCTCATCCTTTAGGGTTGCTTTATTATTTATGGAAATTGTGGTACATCCATTCTATGGAATACTATTCAGTTATTAAAATGAATGTAATTCTATCATTTGCTGTAAAATGGTCCCAACTAGACACCATTATGCTCAATGAAATAAGCCAATCTCAAAAGGACAAATACCACATGTTCTCTGATACAAGAAAACTTTCATGCAAAATGCAAGATTAATAGACACATAGATAAACATGTATGTGCATATATTCATCTAGAGCAACTGTATAATGGAGACTAGCACACCAGGAAATAAAGACACATTGCAGTATGTACCTCCACTACTGAGGAAAAGATGGACTCCCAATTAAATTGTTAAGTATATCTTGACAACAAGATGCTGGACTTTCTACCATTGTCTATAACTACAATGTTAGGACACACTTAATGGCAGAATGATGGACTTGTGACTGTTGTTAAAGAACTATGCACTGTAGTAATATAGGGGAGGTAAGGGGAGGAGGAGGATGAAAGGGGAAATCTCTAAGCCTATGGAACGGTATCATTAAAAATATTTTTAAAAAGGAAAAAAAATAACACTCTGAAAAATTCCCAAGTGCCCATGGCCTTGCATTCTGGCTTAGTCAGCAAGATAAATGTGAAATAAGTATGTTCATGGACAATTATTTCCCAGTATGTTTTATTCTTCACATTGAGTCATGTGAGGTTGCTGTTTACATAGGTCAAATTTTTCAGTATTGATAATTTCATAGGGTGAAAAGTTCAGTGCTAACAGCGATATTTCCATAGAGTTCTTCTATTTTTCAGAAAGTTAGGCTATATGTATTTGCTATTACTATTTCTTCTCTTTCACCAAATTCTGTCAGTGATTTTTACCCATCATTTCCTACAAAGAGCCTAGAGCTTCTTGACTGACATGTGGATTTATAATTTAAAGCAGCACAAAATGTTAAGGTCAAGTGACATCTAAGCTTATAGATCAAATTTTATCTACAGCAGGATAAAAGTGACTGCTGTTTCTGCTCTGTAGTACTTGATAATACCGTTTCTTTTCTTATACAGTTTACCATTTTGTGATACATTACTAAAGCTGTGTTCTTCAAATAACCTTATTATTATTCCTACCTTACGCATAAACTTATCAAATTACAAAGAGAATGCCACCATAAAATATTTAAAATGATAATACAAAAACTAGGGATTTTAAAAAATATGTAAGAATAACTTAATTTCTGTTACAATGATGTTGAAACATTTTGGAGAGTGGCAAGATAGTGGTATAGGGCATGAACAGGCTTAAACTGATGGAAAATCATTACCCAGGGTGAAGCAGAGAGAGCAGACTCCAGGAAATAGGAGAGGACAGGTCCACGGTAGAGGGGGTACCTGGATAGAATGGACATGGGGAAGCACCAGAGAAAACAGAGCAGTGTTGCATTGACCAGATACTCTAGTAGAGGTCAACGAGTGGCAAACTGAGCTCCACCAGTGGCTAGCGCTCCACCAGCAGCTGGGTAGAAAGAGGAGTTCATCAGGAGTTCAGGAGATAAACCCAGGCCAAAAACACGGCCAGTCCTGCTGATTTGTTTGACCCAACAATGAGCAGAGACAAAGCATCAGACCCCAAGCAGGCAATGCAGGAACAGGGTGAATTTCACAACCCAGACCTCAACTAGTGCCACATCAGGTGCCATTTTGTATAGTGAGACAAAGGCTGTGGAACTGGAGGGATAACAGCGAGCTGCACATGTGCTAAGCTGGGAGTAAACTAATTTCTGGCTCAGTGCATTGCAATAATCCCACAGGGAAAATAGTATCAATTTGGCATCCTATAGTTTTCACCCAAAATAGGTCCAGATGGCCACCAGAATTCCATCAGTGTCAGATCAGGTGCCATTTTGTATAGTGGGTCAAAGGTTGTGGGACTGGAGGTACAACAGTGAACTGCATATGCACTAACCTGGGAGCAATCTCATTTCCAGCTCAGTGGTTCCACTGGTCACACAAGGATAACAGTATGAACTTTGGCACCTTATAGGTTCCACCTAAAATATGTCTCGGTGGTCCCAAGACCTAACAGCCAGCAAATCCAGAACTCCACAAAGTGCCATTTTTATACAGCATAGCAAAGGCTTTTGGACTGCAGGGACAACAGTAAGCTGCACAAGTCTAGACTAGGAACAAAAACACTGCCAGCACAGTGATTCCACAAGGAAAACAATGCTGACATGGCATTCTACCCACCCAAAATAACTCCTGGTGGCCCTTAGACCTAATGGCCTGCAGGTTCCAGCAAGATCAACACCACCAACAACCCAGCTATTTAGCACAGCTGGTCTCTCTGTAATCCTAGGCACTGCTCAAACTGGAAGTGGAAGAAAGGCAATGCAGGCAAAGGTGCAGCCACAGCAGGAGATCACAGGAGATAGAGAGTAGTGGGGCAGGAGCTGGGGCAATGGAGGGATACCATGGTTGGAAGCCTACCACAGTAGCCCAGGACTGAAACTTGCTGGAGGGGTGGCAAAAACAAATACCAATGAAGAACTCAGTACCAATCCAATCAGTAAAATCAACCTGTAGACCTGTGGGTGATGCAGCTTAGAAACCTGCCATAATGAGAAGAATCTGCTAAGCAGAAGTACAATGACCAAGAGCAAAACAGACAGAGGCACAATGACTATTACTGATATCTCCCCCACAAAGGAGAAAAAGCCTTTAGCAATCTCAGAGTTAACTGAGGAATATATTGACAAAATGAGGGATAAAGAATTTTGAAAACTTGTTATAAAGGTTTTTATCAATAATGAGAAGCACATACAGGAGTTCAAGGAGTTTAAGGAATATGTCACACAGGAAATAACAACTCTGAAAAAATTCGAGATGAATTATTATAAATAAAGGACACAATGGAGCAAATTAAAAATTCAGTGGAAAGTACCCAAAATAGATTGAAGGAGGCAGAAGAAAGAATCTAAAAATTGGAAGATATTTCTTTGTCACAATAGAGAAACCATCAAAAAGCTGGGAGCAGAGCTGGAGCAAGCTAAAAAAAAAGTATCTAAAAGTT